GAAATATGACTCTAAATCTGTACGTTCAATGACAAAAAAGTTAATGTATGGCAATCTGTTGTTTAGGAAATTAAAGAAAAATACAAAGTTTGCATTTAAAAGCTGATTTGTGTCAATACAGCCACTTCACTTTGACATGTCCGACATGTTTCGGTGGCTGTATCTGATGGTTCCAGCGAGGCACCAGGTCACAACATGAGCTGTGTGTGTTTTTGGCTCCAAAAACAAACAAACCTGATTCCAAGAACTCGAGTGAGCAGGTCCTGTGTGTCGTAGTTGCCTGTAAAGAGACTGTGTCACCTTTGTATTTACTAAAATGAACCAAGGGTGCTCTTTTTAATTCCTCAGGTAGCTGTAGAGTTGCAACAAGTTTACACATTCACCAAAATGTCCAACGTTTTTCTTAAATTATACAAAAATAAGTAACAAAGTCCTCTCCGGCCTTATTCAGAGGTCAGACTGCCTCAGACGTTGATCCACCAGCAGTCTCACCTTAAGGAGCTTTGTGACTTGGATACTAATGCATCCTGAGATGTGTTGCTTACCTTGGAGAAAGATATCTCTGATAATCATCTGAGGCCTTCTGAGGGCACACTTGGGCTTTGCCAGCTGGCCCTCTCCAATGACCCCCCTCTCTTTGAAGTGTTAACTTAAAAAACGTTAAAGCCAAGAGGCTGCAGAGCCTTAATGGAGCCTCAGTCAAAGCATTTTTGTTTGATTCACCAAGAGCTTCAGTGATGTATAATAAGATATCTCAGAGTGCCCCCCTTTCCCTACTCAATCAGGCCTAATTTAAATGTGGAAGGGAGAACAAGAGCTACATTAAGATGGAACATGTTTATCCACAGGGGATGGAATTAACATTTTGCTGGGTAAACATATCTTTAACCCCTAGTTTCCACTTTCAGTAAGCATTCGGTTCTATAGTTTTGGTCTAAACCAGGGGTCTGCAACCTGCGGCTCTTGGGCCTCATGCGCCTCTTTGGTCCTTGGTCTGCGACTCCTTGAAGCTTTGACCAAACATAATGCAAAATGTAAAGTCATTGGTTTTTATACCCACAGTAAAGAGAAATGACAAGTTTTAGCAGTTTTTCTGCAAATGTTTAAAAGAAATAAAAGAAAATAATGATGATTAGCTTTAGCTATCATCATTCTC